TTATCTTGGCGCTGCTCATGACCCACAGATTGGTCATTATTCATGACGGTGAAATCTGGCTCTAGATTGGTTGCAATATGTTTGGCAATATATAGGGACATATTGGGTTGAATCCTATTGAACGTAGATTCTGTGATGTCTGTTTCAGACTGCTTGGGTTTCTTTAAGAAAGTAGCTTAAGCTCTATGATTACCTAAGCTTACGGTGGCTTGCGTGGGGGCTTGTCGCTTTTTAATACCTAGCCCTCGCATCATATAGAATTCTTTTGGTATTGGCTTATTCTGTAGGGTTTTGATAGCGTAGCTATATAGCAATTTGAGATTGCGACTGATAGGGTTATAAGTCTGATCCTTTTGCTGTGGAGGAGTCTCATTTTCATCATCCACAGCTCTGCGTGCTACGGTATCAGTCGGCAAAGATCGTTCCGTCACTTTATCCACTTGGGTGAGTGTATCCACGAATTGTATTAACTGTGAGTTATAAAAATGTTGTTGGTTTATGGTCTCTACGACATCAGGATGGTTCTGGAAGACAGTACGTGGATCGTAATCGTGAAGTTCTGGTAGAACTATAAAGACACCATTGTCCATTGGCACAGCGTTGGTATCTAAACACCATGAGTTCTTCTGAGAAGGTGAATAAGTTATGTTCTTATAGGTGAACGCTGATTGGATGTGATTAAGCACTACATGGGTTGGTGTTACATATGCGACTCCTTGTGTGGCCAATACANGGATCGTAATCGTGAAGTTCTGGTAGAACTATAAAGACGCCATTGTCCATTGGCACAGCGTTGGTGTCTAAACACCATGAGCTCATCTGAGACGGTGAATACGTTATGTTCTTATAGGTGAACGCTGATTGGATGTGATTAAGCACTACATGGGTTGGTGTTACATATGCGACTCCTTGTGTGGCCAATACATATCGGCACAAGGGTGGATTTGAAGGTGGTTTCGTCCATATTACCGTCCCATGACTAATGAGGCATTGCGTTTTCGCAATGCTGCAGTGGGTCATATCCCCAAATTGACCAATAAGATGGTTACCGTCAAATGTTGCGATTTCTCCTTTTTCGAAGTACAGATTGGTAGTAATAGTGCATTTTTCCCCGAAAAACCATGGATAGGAGTAGTGAATTTGATAGTCAGATCCATATACATTAGGTGATATTGGGTCTAAAGGAGTGCCTTGATACTTTTTACTTTCTGTCAATGATCGACAGAGAGCGGGGTCTACTGGAGTCATAAATTCGTCATCACTATTCACAGAAAATGAAATGTGAAGATAAGAAGATGCACAAATTCTCCTAGTTTTATTAAAACAGTGATATGCTTGAATTAAGAGAGGTTCTGTACGTTCGACATAAATATCTGCAGATGTTATTAGAACATCCGAAGCATTGGGAGAGCTAACACACGTCAGTGGGTCCGGAAAAGCAACCGGCCATCCGGATTTTCCAGCCGCACATAGCTGATATTTAAGAGAGAATGTGGTTACTGGTGTTGCCAAAAATGCAATGATTGCGACAAGGAAAAGAGGAGTGTGAAGAGTGAAAAGTGTTGAAGTGTTGTATGAAGAAATCGAATTAACCTCCGGACGACGTTGTGTGCGAGGGCGTTGTATGGTTCGTTCACTGGAGGGTGTGCGCCTTGGATTTTGTCTAGGGCGGGGAAATGGCGAAAATCTGCGGGGACGTTGTTGTCGTTGTCCTGAATATTGCTCTCTAGGCGAAGGTGCAAATCGCACACTATTGCGTGGAGGAGTTCGGCTTCTTGGAGGGTAGGAATTATTGTCACGGAAAGAATTGAATCGTCGATATCCCTGGAATCTCTGTTTATTTTGGTACCTTTGTCTTGGGGAACGGTCATACCGCGTTCTAAAAGAACTTTCTTGCTTCTGTGGGGATAAGGCGTTAAGTACCTTGTCAATTTTGGCTATAAGGAGATTATTAGTCGAAGAAGTAGTCTCAGTGTTTGTAAGATTCCACATCCGTTCCGCATCGTAAACTAGCCGTTCGTACTCCGTGGGTAATGGGCCAAGAAGTTTTGGCCTTTGCTTAATTGGATTTGACAAAGCGTTAGTGAATATCATGCTTTGGAGAAATTTCCGCTTATCAGCTAAGTTAGGGCCGGGGTATGCATCTAAGATTTCATTTCGTATTCTATTTGAGAACACGACTGGTGATTCACCAGGATACATTCGCATTTCCATAAGTTTTTCTCGTGCCATATCAAGAAAGTGGTCAGTCGAGAAATGCTGTTTTAACCTGATTGTTGCTTCGCGCCAATCACGCCTAACGTCTCCGGAAAAATTTTCGAAGAACGCTTTCGCGACTCCTGTCAAATGAGCTGGGAGGAGACGGACCATTTTTGATTTTGTTAGACCCATTATACATCCAGCCGCTCGACCGACAGTGACCATTCCGGTCTCTTCAGATTGGAAGAAATGAGGGCCGAAGATGCCCCGTATTCCGTGGTGAGCTTTCGTTTTAAGCGAGAAAAAATAGAAAAATATTTCATACTTTGTAGTATACTTGTTCTTTAGAAACACTGCAATCAGTGTCTTTCCCTCAGGGAATTCGTGGAGAAGAAGGAAGAACTTCATGGCATCCTAGATGCCTCGAAGAAGGCCTCACTCGCGCAGAGTGAACTGCAGCCGAAAGCCCTGATAAAAACCCATGACAAGTTAGAAACTATCAAAGAGTTCAAGACGGGGTTGAGGCGCTATCTCTACAAACTACAAGTGAGTAAAAGAGAATTGTTTCCACCTTCATTTCCGTTTATTGATATTATATTTCTTTTAGAAAGTATCGGACCGAGAAAATCGGCCGAACTATCCTATGCCGCCGGCTCACGAGAGACAACTTTATGGTAGAGGATTCCCCACACTGCCACGCGAAGCGAGGAATTTGTAAGTGTGCCGAAAACATTTGTATGTTTCGTTGTATCCTTAAATTGTCAGACTAAACATTTCTTTTCAGAAACCCGCATCCTGACCGTGAATTCCATGAAGAGATGCTAAATAACATGCTTGTAAGTTTTAATATTGTTTCCTTTTGAATTCCTAACTTTGAACCTTTGATTCGCTCGTCCTTTAAAATATGATTAGTTTCACCCCCTTTTTTTT